TGATGACAAATGAGTAAGGAAGACTTTTATAAAGTTATAATGATTGAATCCACATCAGGACTTTAATGTAACAATCTAGTGTATCATACAAGAAGGTTTAGTTGATCTTTGTCGGGATCCTTATTCATTGTATCTAATGTGGCTTGCCTTATCAGATTTTAACGAGGTACAATTGATTATCCTTTTCCCTTAACAGTCAGTAAAAATAGCCATAAAACAACATTGGATTTTTTTGGATTTGTTTTAAACTATTTTACTGTTTGGAGATTAACTATTATAATATTTCGTTAAAAATCTAAAAAGCAACCATAGAATCACACACACACACACACACACACTGATTCGCTAAAATATATAGCATCAGTCATCGCATATCTAATACTGTTACGTTATTCAATATTTATTTATTCAATGTTAATATGTAATAATGTTCTGCGAATTCTACAAGAATATATTATACAGGGTGTATAAAAATTATCGAAACCCCTTAATATCTCGGAAAATACGCATTTTAGAAAAGAATGTTTCACACAAAGTTAATAGGGTTTTATAAGGCGCATTACATGGCAATATTATTATGACTTTGAATAGCGTTGTCAAGATCACATGAAGGTCATTTTAAATTTCTTAAATGGAACCTGTTTTTCATTACATTGTACACATTGACATTCCTGTAGCTTATCTCGAGAACTTTCCAAAACACTATAATTAAATGTTTTTTTTTCATTCAGATGTGTATGCACGCACACATAAAAGAGGTGTAAATCCGATCTCCACACGGTACACCTTAGGTAATGCTAATGCCGGCGGTACTGCAACTTTTAAGTCTTGTAACTCGAAAAATATCTAACGAAAAAACATTTAATTGTAGTGTTTATTTTCAGAAAGCCTTCGAGATAAGCTACAAGAATATATAATGAAAAATAGGGAGATTCATTTAAGAAATTTAAGATGACCTTCACGTAACCTTGACAACGCTATTCAAGGTCATAATAATATTACCAAGTAATGCGCCTTATAAATATTAAATGTTCGAACTGTTGACCATTAACATCTAAACATTTATTAATTCTTTTTACAAAACTTTGCCTAACTTCAAATAACATATATATGTATATATATCAGATATATATATATATATATATATATATATATCAAGACCATGGGATAAATTTTTAGTCGGGTGAATGCGTATTTTAGATTTGACAGCCAATTAAAGTTGTGTCGGCGATTTTTTAATTCTTTACAACGAGCGGTCTCAAAAATATGCATTGAGTTTTGTGTAAAAACTGAAATAAAGTACTGCAAAGTAGTGGAAATGTTGCAGAAGGCTAGTCTGTGCGTGAACGAGTGGTTCACGTGCTACAAACGCTTGCAACAGAGGTCGTGAATCAATTGAGAATGATGGTAGAGTTGAAAGACCCAGCCCGTCAGTCACCGATGAAAAAAAGTGGAAGAAGTTAAGAAAAAAATTCTTGATAACGATTATCGAATCACTATCATAAAAGTTATTGAGGAAGTTGGTGTTTTTATGTTGTTCGTACAAAGCGATTTTTTCATAACGTTTTGGCCATGAGACGCAAATGGCAGCGAAATTTCTTTCGAGATTGTTGAATTTTGAAAAGAAAAACTGTAAAAAAGTTGTTCGGGAAAAGATAGATGAAGATGGTCTTTTTTCTCTTCCCAAATATGAAAAAGACCATGAAAGGACAATCTTTCTTGTGACCATTGAAGACATAAGAGCAAAATCACGCTGGAGAAGCTAAAGGCTATACCAAGAGATCTGTTACGATTCTCAGATTAGAAGAAAATGATAGAAGCGAACAACTCACCCAATTACAATTAATCGCACCTCCTGAAAATACGAAATTATTCGCGTGAGCAGACCCGACACGAAATTTCATGTCAAAAAGTAAAATGACACAACAAAATATGTTTGACTGACGCTGACTTATTACACCAGCGTTACAGCAGTGCAGCTAAAAAAAACACATCAAAGAACAGTGATGAAGAGAAACTATTTCCACACACAATGGATAATTTAATAATAGTAATAATAATAAATATCGATATTGATATTAATATTAATAATAATTTAATAATATTCTTTTCTGTTTCTCCGTAATATTCATTTTATTTATTTTATTCCATTTTTGTAATGATTAACTGAAAGTATTAATCACCACGATAAGCGGTTGTCAACAACAAACATTTTCCAGATATAACTTCCCTTTGTTAACAAATTTGTTGTAAGCTTAACCTTTACTGGCGCTATTAGCGAATCGGCTGCGTTCGTTTTGCACGAAAACGTCCAAAGTGAACGCAGCCCTCGTGAAAATGTGAGATCACCATAACCGCAACAGCTTGGTTACTTTACATTTTCACTCGACAGTTTTGTTATTGAGTGACTAATGTCACGTGAAATGCTAATGCAGAAAGTTAGTAAATTTATCCGAACATCACAATAGACCCTCAGAAACTGCATTTCAGAAGTGTTTAAAAATCTAGAAAAAACAGCAATATAAATGTATTATTAGAAGTATAATTTAATTTTGAGGTTTTTTTTTCAAAAACTGTTTTACTTACAACAAACAAGATAATGAACGAATATCTTAATCAAAATATTTTCTACAACTTTTTCCCATTTTTCTAGCAAGAGACGGATTCTGCGACGATAAAAAGATTCTTTTCTGAAGTTGATACAATTTTCAATAATTTTTTGTACTTGCTCCAAGTTATGAAACTATGTATCCTCTAGAGTATGTTGCATCGACCAGAACACGTGATAATCGGATGAAGCAATGCCTGAAGAATACGCCTGGAGAATATGTGGTAAGACTTTCCATTCCAGCTCTAATGGCGTTTGCTTCAGTGATAAAACGTACAACATGAGGTCGAGCATTGTCGTGAAGAAGGGTCATTTTACGTCGCTTACTCGCAATTGGTGATCGTTTTTGGTCCAATGCTCACTTCAATTTGTATAATTGTTGTCAATAACAATCAACGGTGACAGTTTCATTCGGATTTAACAGTTCATCGTACACACACCTTTTAGACCCACCAAATACGCAGCAATATCTTTGAACCGTGAATATTGCGCCTCGAAGTGGACGTTGCTGGTTGGCCAAGATCAACCTATGATTTTTTTCATTTGGAATTATCGAAATAGATCCATTCTTTATCCTCAGTAATAATTCGATACAAAAACTCTTCATTTTTTGTCTGACGATCAAAGAAATGCAAATGTTCAACCGGTTCGCAATGACATTATTCGATAATTTATGTGGAACCTATATCTCTTCTTTGTGAATCTTTCCCATATTATATAAACGTTTAGTAACTGTTGTACGATCAACATTTAATGCTCTGGCAAGTCCTAAAGTGGATTGTGCTGGATTTTCGTCCAATAAGTCTTGCAAATCTTCATTTTCAAGTTTTTTTTGTCGTCCTGAGCGATCTTTGTCGTTAACATTAAAATCACCACTTTTGAATCGTCTAAACCAATATTCACATGTCTTAATTGATGGAGCAACAGCATTACAAGTTTCTATCAGAATTGTACTGTATGACCTTCAGTGTTGCCGTTTTCTTCTGATTAAAAGACAAAAGCAACGCGTGTCAAAAATGCTTTTTAGGAAGCTTCATTTTTAGAATGATATAAAATTAACACGATTTTTACAGCGTCTATTGTTAGTAAATGGCTAAGTATCATGGATTAATATTAAAGCATTAAGAAACAATGGCTGTGACTGGAATGTCTTCGACAAAACTGACACTAGTGCCACCTCTTGCGAAACCCTCAAAACGAAATCACACCCCTAATATCACACTCCTAATATATCCGAGATGGAAACTTTTTTGAAGAGGGTAGTACACATATTGAAAGAAATACTCTTTTGTAATTTCAAAAATTGCATCAATTTTTTGGTCAAACCCCGTATATACTCTCGTTCGTCGCTGCTTGATTTTGACGCTGCGCTTCACTTGTCAGCATAATGCGTCGTGTTACTTTCGGTAACAGCCCGGCCGTTTGGAGAAAGCGCCATTCAACGGACGTTGAACAAAACCGCGAGCACAATTACCGTGCCGACGCAACCACGTGTAGCGCAAAATATGAAAAATTCCAATATTTTTTGTCGCGCGCGTGCAGGGGTGGGAGCTAATCGAAGCGCTGCTACGCGCGTGGTTATTCGACACCATAGTTTATTTACAATAATTACACTTCGATGGAGTACGAGCTTTCGTTTTGATTATTGACGCTGAATGGCACTTTCTATTAGATGTTTTGCCGCAAATGTTTCAATTCACCGCGCTCAACCAAAACTTTCCCCGGCGAGGGGAATTTTTCCTCTCTCTCTCTTTCTCTCTCTCTCTCTCTCTCTCTCTCTCTCTCTCTCTCTCTTCATCGCACGCGCAGTGCGTTTCGTTCGATCCCCTTTGTTAATCGTAATTAAACAGAGGGACTTAAATCGCCTTTGTCCACGTGCGTCATCGCGCGTCTCGCATTCCCGGACGGGAACGGGGGGGGGGGAGGGAAGTCCAAATTGCAGTTACCCGTTTTTGACGTGGCATTGAGCAGGACTCTCTGCCACAGCTTTTAGCGGAACAAAACGTTCCTCGGTATTGCATTCCAGCCGATATGTAATTCTACTGTTTGAATTTATACGCTAATGTCGCTCTAGGGTTTACGCGCTATCCATTTATTCTTTGTGTTCGCGTAACACGTCATGCAACTCCATTATTTTCAATCAGCTTTCAACGCGAAAGGCAGACAAAGAATCCGACATTTTGGAGCCGGAGTGTGCCCACGGTACTCCGTCGTGCTCCAAAGCAGAAGGAATTTATTCGATCGCGCGTGCGCACACACACACACACACACACACACACACACACACACACATACACACGGCTCGCTCGCTCATCCGCGAGCCGCGAGCAAACGTGTCGCCCTAATTTCGCGAGATAAATCGGAATAAACGCGAATCGCTCTCTCGCAGATCGATAGGCCACAAGGGCGAGCCATATCGCGATCTCATCTACCCGAAGATGGCGCAGGCCGTCGTGATGATGATGCTGACGGCGCAGGATCACATGGAGCGGCGGCGTTGCAGCTTCGAGCTGTACGGCGCCGACTTCGTCGTCACCGAGGATCTGTCGGTCTGGCTCATTGAGATCAACACCAACCCCCGTATGCACCCACCCAGCTCCAGGACCACGAAGCGTCTTTACTCCAGCGTGTTGGACAGTCTGGTGAAAGGTGAGAGAGCGCGGCTGGTCGGCGAGTTATCAAGTGTCCGTAGTGTCCGGCGGCAAGTTCTTCCGGGGGCTGACGCGGTCGGGGGTGGGCGCGGGGGATGGGCGCGCAAGTGGACGGCACGACGTGTGCTATCGACATCTTGTCTCATAGCGGGCCTCAGAAATCGCGGGAGTATCGAGCATGGCCGCGGCACTGTGCAATTAGACGAGTTACGCGTCATCCCGGACCGACCGACCCGAGACGGCTCTCCCTCTCTATCCTCTTGTTCTCTCTCTCTCTCTCTCTCCGTACCTCGGCTCCGTCAGGGTGATAACAGCGGCCATAATTCGCGGCGACGTAACGCCGATAAGCGCCACGTGCCCCACGTGATGGATTTACGCGAGGAATTAACCGCGTTAGCGAGATTTCCCGGCGCAATTATCGAGCCCGAAATGGCCAAACACCTGATTGCGTCGATTATACCTTTTGTGTGCTCTCGAGATTATGCCTCGCGCGACGGCGGCGAAGATTCGTGCGCGGGATGTAATTGAATCGGAGTAATCCCGGCGTTACGAGGCAATATCGCTTCTTTCGCCGGCGAGTCTTCGGCGGAGATTTTCATAGCCGGGGGTAATTTCGCCTTATTAGAAGATCGCCGGCTCTCGCGCATCGAGATATTGCAACGCGCGAGCGAATGAGAGGGGTGTCGCGAGAGATACAGGAGAACTTTATACCCGGCGGGTCGTGTCTCGACGGCGGAACATCAAAGCGAGTCTGTCGTTACAAGAAGAGACCGGCGAGGGCTGAGGTGCGGCGGGGCGGAGGTGTTTTTACAACGTAGAATTTGATTTTGGGAACACGGAGATCTTTCACGGGGCCTGCGAAATAATGAAATTCTTTCGCCACGGCCATCGACAAATTAAACAATGAGGCTTCATAAGTCGTGACGTCGCATAATGAGCTTGGCCGAATTCCTGAATATTCCGGTCTGCAGTTTGAAGATAATTCCATGCGCCCCCGATCCTTTGTTCGTGCGTACGGCCGGCTTTTTATTATTGAATCTCATATTCTATCTCTTTCTCAAAGAAGCTAATATTCTCTCTCCCCCTTTCTCTCTCTCTCTCTCTCTCTCTCTCTCTCTCTCTCTCTCTCTCTCTCTCTCTCTCTCTCTCGGCCCGTTCATATCGAACAGTAAAACTGTACTCTGATTTACCTACTGATTCATTTCTAAGTGTTCAATTTATCAAGTCGGAGCAATTACATCGAGAGCAAATGCTTAAGCAAATATTTTCCGCGAACGAGTCGATCAATCAGTCTCTCAATGGCAGCGAACGCTGCGAAAACCTGCCCGGTCAAATAGACTCTTCGACGTGATTGACAAATATGGAAATATAGGAACATTATTTTTTTACATTTGTCGAACGTTTCCCGTCGGCGTAATTTCCGCGCGTTCGCAGTGAAACAAATATTCCGCCTCGCTCGCGTATATTTCCCGGGAAATGTAAGTGCTGTTCGACAAGCTTGCCGCCTAAGTGTCGCCCGTTACAACTGAAATTGGAATTAAAGGAATTAAAGGTTGAGAGGAAAGTTCCGTGAAAAAGAGAAAAAAAAAAGTAAACGAAAAGAAAATGCGCGCACGCAACGACACGCTCCGCTTCGGAAAGACGAAAAATTCCGCGCGTGCTTTCTGCGCGCAGCGGCATGCGACGTGCACGAAGATCTTCGGTATTTGTCTTTCATCCCCCCCCCCCCTGCCCCTTTCGCTGTGTCTTCCCGCGATAAATGCAAATTCGCTCTCACAAAAGGGCTTTGGAAAAAGGGTCCGGATCGCGCGGTGGCGCCGCGGCCTCTCGCGATCTGCTAATCTGCTTTCCGCAAACACCATCAGCGCGCGATCCAGTTAAGAGCGACTCGCTGGCGCGACTCGCTAGCGCGTGCGAGGAAAGTCTTCGATCGCTTGGCCGACGCTTGGCTTGCAGTGATAATGGACGCGCCGCCGGTGGACGCTTGCGCCGACACGGGTGACTTCAGCCTGCTCTACAAGCAGCACGTAGCCGACTTCCAACCTTACCTCGGTCCGTGCCTCTTCGTAGCCGGCGAGTCGATGACATTGCACGAGCAGCCGCAGAAAGAAAGAAGGACAAACATTTGCGGTCCCTGGAGCAAGCAACGTGCAAAGACCGCCCCGCCCATGATCCCGCGCTCCAGAGAGCCAAACGTGGTCGACCTTATTGACCACTTGAACGCGGCGCGATGCACCGCGGCCAATTGACGCGCGGGACGCCGAGGGACAGATATACGAGCGAATCATCGCGAGTCATTCCCTCGGTCCCTTCGTAGCCTCTGCGAGGTAAAAGCTCCGCCAGCCGGTTGTTATCTCGCCACGAAAATCACCGGCTCTCTCGGCTGGATTTTCCCGAGTCCGACCTCAGGTCTGGCAGTAGCGCGATGTTTCTCGTTTCACTACTGACGCGCGATTTCCGCGCGAAATCGCGCGCTTTACACGCGTGACTTTGCGCCGGAACGAGGACGAAATGTCGAGAGAGAAGCGCGAGCCTTTCGCGCTGATGAGAGACTCCGGTTTCTGATTAATCGACAGCGCGCGCGCACGCACGATTGAACACGGAGAATTTGCACAGCCGGATTTTTTCACGCTAAATTTGCCCGCGCCACGCCGCGTGTAATTAACGAGCTTAAGATAGCGCGCCGTAATTAATGTTGTCATTAGCGGCGGTGTCCGCGCCGCGCCGGGGAGTTCTTCTCTCCGAGGAGAGCCGCGCGCGGCGCGAAGAAGCGCGCCGACTAGCGTCGAGGGAGTATGACGAGTCGGCGAGAACTTCCTCGAAACACATACATGCGCGGCGAATAATGAGGCGAACTCTTCCGGCTTGCGTATATCGACGTTACACTTTTGCGGGGAATTCGCGCGTAACGATATTAGCCGTAGTGTAACGTTATTAGCGGCGCTCTCTCGGCGAATCGCGAACCGCATGTGGCGATATAAGAAAATTGGAGGGCGATTCTTCTCGACGAGCCTTCTTCGAGCGCGCGTCGAAACTCCAGAGATCAAGCTGACGCGCTTAGAGATGGGAAATTACTGTTAGATTGAAAAATTACTAACACTGACGGTAAAATTGTAATTTACCGGTACTTTTGGTAAATTCGTTTTTTTTTTTATAGTTTCATGCACAAATAGGCATATTTACTACTAAAGTACTGTTTCTATATAATTATTTATGGGGAGAAAAGCAAGTATAAAGTGCAAGCAAGTAAAGTGGAGGTAGTCAATTGGAAAGAGATAAAGTGCTACTCTTTCTGTTGAAAAGTCGCAATACTACATATTTAAACAGAATCATTTATAATGTCTAATGTAGTGTTAAACGTGTCTCCACCTTTCTTTTTTGCTTCCTATAAAAAAATGTAAATTGAGACATTTTATGTCACATTTTTTGTAAAAATTCTAATAAAAAAATGTAAAATGTTTTTTTCATTTACCCTCTACTTATTACACGCTTAGTTTTCCTTTTTAGTTATTAATATATGTTATCTACGATATCAGAATATTTCACGGAAAATATAAGTTAAAGTGTTGACTAAAGTTTTCACTCTCATCTAGATGACCCCTCTCCCTCTTTGAGCTTTATATACAAATTCTTTTATTACTATTTTTTTTAATTACCATTTTTACCAAGCATTCTAAATTATCGATAATTTACTGCAATTTATTGAAAGAGTTACTGTCAAATTCCAAAACTACTGACACTACGGTAAAAATTATGGAAAAATTGAAATTTATCGATAGTTTTGATAAAATTCTTTTTTACAGTTTTATACATAAATAAGTATATCTACTGTCACTGTTTTTATACAATTATTTATACAAAAAATAAATGTAAAATACATACTCAATTGGAAAGAAATAGAGTGCTACTCTTTCTGTTGAAGTTGCAATATTACATATTTAAATAGAATAATTTATAATTTCTAATACAATATTAAATGTGTTTTCGCTTTTCTTTTCTGCTTCTTGTAAACATGTAAATTGAGACATTTTATGTCACATTTTTTTATAAAAATTCTGATAAAAAAATGTTTTTTTCATTTACCCTTTAATTATTACACGCCTAGTTTTCCAATTATATATGCTATCTGCGAGAATATTTCATGGAAAATATAAGTTAAATAAAGTGTTGACTAGAGTTTTCACTCTCATCCAGATGATCCCTTCCTCCCTCTCTTTGAGCTTTATATAAAATTAATTAATTCTTTTATTCCTGTAATTTTTTTTAATTACCATTTTACCGAACGTTCCAAAATGACCGTAATTTACCGTAATTTACTGGAATAATTAATGACAAATTAGCTCATTTTAATCTGTAGACACGGTCGAATTTGTTACAGCGGATCGCGCTGCGTCGCCTCACGGAGGAAGACTTTTATGGACGGCGGACCTTTTATACATCAGACGCTCGAGATAAAGACAATCGTTTTATTATTGATATGTACATACAATAAATTTATTTACAAATAATACAATAAATTTTGACGTCGTAAGTTATTCGTTCTTGATGATATATGTTAACAAAATACTACGCTCTTACCGATTATTGTGCCGTGCTGATATTTGAAAACTCTTTTGGTCACGGAAGTTTCTTCGTTTCTCTTTCCCCCCCCCTCTCTTTCGTGTGTTTAGTTTTTTTCTTTCGTTTCACTTCTTTCGCTTCTTTTTTTAATGTAAACGGTAAATGTTCTGGTTTTTACCCTGCACAAATATTTATCCAAGAAACGTTAACGACGTTTAGACGTAGGCAATTCGCGATTCTCGGCGATCGCGTTTCATCGTGTGTGTGTGTGCTTGTCGGGGTAAATGTTTCTTCTCCTCCTTCTTCTTCTCTCTCTTCTTCTTTCCGTATTTCTCTCTCTCTCTCTCTCTCTCTCTCTCTCTCTCTCTCTCTCTCGCCTTATATAAACATTATATTAACTATTACTAAAATTATAAAACAAATCGGTCGTGCCTTGATGTACGACGAGCTGCCGTCCCCGTGGTGCATGGCGGCTGGGTGTTCCTCTGCAACAGAAATGTTCATCGATTCGACACGATGCGGGCGAACGGGAACGCGTCGCGATCACTTTTCGTATCGCTCTATATGCGACGAAAACAGGATCTTGCGCGCTGTATTCAAGCGGTTAGGTAACCGGCTAGTTCGGAAAAATCAGTGCTCAAGTTACGAGCGCTGTGCAAGCGTGACTGAGATCTACCGGGTTGCTGCATAATTTCGTAGCGTTTCCTTCTTCCAACGGAAGTTTGTCCAAGAGAGAAAAAAGATTTTGTATATCGTTCGAAAATCCTACTCTTGCTCCTTCAGATCTCTCGATACTTTCAATCTACCACATATATATATATATATAGTATGAACCTTACAAGAATAAACCCCTAGAAGAACGTTATGGTATTTAAGGACAAAACGAGCTTGCTTTAGTCGAACAATAGTATAAGAAGAGACGACATTTGTATTCAGAGACACTTTTTTATAATTTAGTCTTAAATGTATTAAACTCATCTTAAATTTAAACTACCTGTAGGAGTAGTTTAAACTTAAGCAGCTTGTATTAAACCCAGCTTAAATTTAAACTACCTGTAGGGGTAGCTTAGGTTGGCTTAACCTTTCAACTGCTACAGGCGTATATATACGTCCATTCATATTATCAAGAATTTTCTCCGAACACATTCTTGTTTGACATTATTCGTATTCGTGTCCATACATCTTTTCTCGATGTTCTTTCATCTTAATGTCGAATTTGTCAAGAAACTTTCCTCCTCTGTGACCCAATTATTCTTTCTACTTCGCTTTATTTTATTTCATGTGTCCATTGAAAATAATTTTCCTATCACAAATTGGAGAAAAAAGAGTCTCCAAGTGTAAACACGAACTTCAAAAATCGCGCTTTGACAGTTCCACGGTGATTGTATTTCATTGGTTACGAAGTATCTGCAGATAAATTTAAGACAAATGTAAGATCCTACCATGAATGAACCGAAGGGTTCAATTTCCTTGGTCCGGATACCAAATTTAAACCATTTCGGAAAAATGTCTCTGAATAACATGGCCTTAGTTCATCGTTAATCTATGGATAGGCTAGACCATCGAAGGACTAAAATTAAGCTAGGACTAAAGTGAGATTATTACAGTTTTAAATATTGTCTCTGAATATCCAGGGTATACATTATTTCACTTAAGACTCTATAACTTCTGTATTTAAATTTTTCTATCTTGTATATTTTCAAAGTTATTCAGGTGGCCTGTTTTAGGTGCCTCACTCTGTATAGCCCTGACATGTCCATTGATGTTATCAATAATTTCCTTTCAACATTCTTACTTAGCCTTATTCGTGTTCGTATCCGTACATCTTTTCTAGCTGATGTTCTTTATTTTTTATATTATCGAATCCGTCAGGGAATTTTTCTCTTCTGTGGTTCAATTTTTAGCCTTCCCATTTCCTTTTATTTAATGTATCCATTGAGAATAATTTTACCGTCACAAATTGAAGAAAAATTGAATAATATTCGGAGATAAAACGAACTTGGTTTAGTCGTGATCCAACAATAATATGAAAAGAGGCTAACGACATTTGTATATTTAGATACGATTTTTTATGATTTCGTGTTGTGTTAAACCCAATTTAAATTTAAACTGTCTATAGGAGTAGTCTAAGGTTGATTTAACCTTTTAACTGCTGCAGAGGTATATATACGCTATGACATATCCATTAATGTTATCAAAAATTTCCTTCCAACATTCTTGTTTGGCTTTATTCATGTTCGTGTCCGCACATTTTTTCTCGATGTTCTTTCTTTTAATTCAAATTTGTCAGGAAACTTTCCTCCTCTGTGACTCAATTGTTCTTTCTACTTCGCTTTATTTTATTTCATGTGTCCATTGAAAATAATCTTCCTGTCCCAAATTGAAAAAAAAAATCTCCAAATGTAAACATAAATCGCAAAAGTCGCGCTGTAACAATTCCCCGACGATTGCATTTCATTGACTACGAAATATTCGCAAATAAATTTAACATAATTAAATATAAAATATCCTACCATGAAAATCGCCCGAAAAGTTTAATTTCTTTAGTCCGGATACCAAATTTAAATCATTTTGGAAAAATGTTTCTGAATAACATAGCTTTAGTTCATCGTTAGTCCATGGATAGGCTAGACCATCGAAGGACTAATTAAGCCAGGACTAAAGTAGGATTGTTACAGTTTTACACGTCCTCTCTGAATAAAACACCCCATATGTACACATTACAATCACCGAACAACATTCAGAACTCATTTTAACAACCATTATACCAATAACAAAACCGTTGTACCAATTCTCAGCACTTGCGGACTAATAAAATTTAAAATATCGCCGCCATTGCTGCACCGACTTTCCGATTAAACTCAAACAAAAGCATATGTCTGGAAATGTTCCTTTTTCTCTACTCGACGCTCCGCAATTTTGAATCCATAACTAGAGAAAAAATTATTCAAATGAAAAAAATTCGAAAGCGACCTGAGAAAGCAAGGGCTTTAAAATGACGCATGAGAAACATTATACGCTTTTTTTCCTTGGACAAACTTCCGTCAGGGAAAAATGCCGGAAAATTAAGTACCGACTCGACACGTTCGGCCGTGCGTCGCAGCGCGCAAAAATCCGCGAGCCGTTGCACGGCCTATTCGACGAGGTTATCGCGCGGAACTTGAGTGACTCGCAGCCGGAACTAATGACGCGCCGGATCTAATCGCTTTAGCCTAAATCGAAAGCCATCGGTGTGTGCGTTCGGCGTTCGGCGAGATAGTGCACTGCGCTCGAGCGTGAGCGCGAATTTTCAGGCGTCGCATCGCGCGTCATCCTGCGCTCCTTTTTCTCTTCTTTTTTTATCCCGCGTGCAGAAACAAACGGTGGTTGTTGCATGCAAAAATATTCGGAAAGAGACGCATTGCGCGTCGAATGCGAAAAAAATTCGGTACGCGCGCGCGCGCGCATAAATGAAAACACGCGCCGAGATAGATGACGTTGACACGATGACGGTAACATATTATCCGCTGTGCGCGCATATCGATGGACCATTGTATCCGGTCGAGCCGTCAGCTGTTGCTATAAACAGTTAATGCTTCAAGTTTGTAATTAATATGTCTATCCTCTGATTATACGACACGCCGATCATCCGTCATGTATCGTACGAGCATCGAGAGAATTTACGAACGAAAGCTGACACCTGATTCGTATCACGAATGCGCGTCGACGTGAAATGCGACGGCACGTCCGCTGGTCTAATTGCTGTTTTCTAATTGGCGCTTCCCATTATCCGCGTTATCTCGAAATCGAGGGAAACGAGACAAAATCCACCTGCGCGTCCGCGACGATCCTTGTTCCGTTCGGACGCAAAACGACGAGTCAGGCTGATTCGTATCGGTAATACGTATCACGAAACGTGATTATTAATTATTACCGCTGTCCAATTATCGCTTCTGCTTGCCGTCTGATGGAAAAATTGCCGAAGCGAGCGGTCTTTTTCACGTCCCCGTCGCGAGAGAGAAGCTGGCTCCCGCCAGGACACAGAATGACGGATCAGGCTGGCTCGCGCGCGAAATGAAGAGCGTAACGCTGAGAAATGATAAAACAATTCGCGCAATCAACTTGTAAACGCCGCGTAAAGTCGCATCGCGCTCTTGATTGCTGACAGCGCGAGAAATAAAACTCGTAAATTCTGCCCACTTCAAAAATATATCGAGTTACGGGTGAAACGGAAAAAACTCCTCTTCCTCGTCCTCCTCCTCCTTCGGGACGGACGAAACAATCCGCTTGCGTTTGATTTTATTTCGCTCCGTAACCGGACGCGCCTGGAAATTGCGCGAGTTCTTGGCGCGACGATCAAGCTTCAAATCGCTTTATCATCGCGAATCGACGCACCTCACACGGCACGCCGCGCCATCGCGCACGAGATAAAAGAAGGCAGAGGCGGAAGAAGGACGAAAGAACGCAGAAAAAAAGGAAGAGAAAAAACAGAAACAAGCTTTCGACATTTGCCGCTCGCACTTTGTAGCTGCGCGTACATTAACATACAGATCAGTATAACGGGTTGCCTGCCTCTGTTTTGACGATAATGCAGAGGTTACCCAGAAAGTCACTCAAAAGTCACGTTGATGATGATATTTGCAATGCTCCCAGTTATGACAAGTGCAACTAATTTTGTATCGAGATCGTTATGACAGTTTATCGACTGTTTATGACAGGACTCAAGTCTCATCAAAATAAAAAAGATGTTTGAAAAAGTGAAATTGAGAAAAAATTACGGATTTAAACAGAATAAATAAGAATAATAATTAAAAAGATAAATCATATAACATATTTTTTTGTTTCATATAATTTCCTAATTTCTTTCTCGCGTTGAAAAGGTTCGATAGGAATTGAAGATTAGAAAGAACGGTATAAAAATATTTGGAAGTATCACATACTATTCCATCCATGTTTCTATAAAAGATCGCTTCTGATCGACGACAGCTATCAAGCCCTATTTTCGATGAAAAGAGGCGTCAAGATACAAGATTACGATGTACCGAAAATATGTCGTTTGATAGTAGTCGTCAATTAAGTTGCAATCAATATTTATACGGCATTTCTGGTCGATTGATACCTTTGTAGAAGCGAATGCAAAGTTAGTTGCACTCGTCGTCTGAAAGTCGAACTGGAAGCACTGCAAATATCATTATCAACAAAGTCAACGAGTGACTTTTCCGACAACCTCTGTATTATCGTCCGAATAGGGGTAGGCAACCCGTCATACTGACCTACATGTTGATGTTGCATCCTGTACAGGAGATTCGTTCGCGCTGTTCCGTCGCAGCCATTTCGATTTTAGGTGCGATAACGTGCGACTTGTCGAGAATGCTCGAGGCCTGCGATATTTACAAAGAAGTCAATCAACATTACTTCTCCGCGACATTCTCTCTCTCTCTCTCTCTCTCTCTCTCTTTCTCTCTCTCTCTCTCTCCCTCGCTTTCTCGCTTCCCGCGAGTCTCTCTCCTCTTCGCGAGACGCGACCATTTCTCCCCGATTCGTTGTAATTGCGGTAAAGCCGCTCGGACATCGAATTCCTTTTTTTCCAATTTGCTGGGAGCCGGCAAACTGCTGCCGCTGGTCAGAAATTGGAAAAAAAAATTTGATGTCGGCGGGCTATGAAAAATTGAAAAAAAAGAGCGAGAGAGAGAGAGAGAGAGAGAGAGAGAGAGGAGGGAGGAGCACAGAGAAGGAAAGAGCGGAGCGCTGCGCGCATAGAAATAGGGTTTCGTTGGGAAATAACAGTTTGACCGTAACACGATATGCGAATCGTGCGCACAAGTAAATCTCAACTCACCATTAACAACGTGCACCTTTATTGTACTGGGATTCGCGTTGCTCGGCTCGCACGTGTAGTGACCGGAATCGCTCGGCACGGCTTTCTGGATCATCAGGCGACTCGTTGTTTCGGGACCTTTCTCCGTGACAAGACTGATGCCGCCGCGCGGCGAGTCGAAATTGATAACCTGCACAGAATCACGGTACTGGCGTTTTCGCTTGAACGAGCTCGTGCAACAGTGTGTACGTGTGTGTGTGTGTGTGTGTGTGTGTCGCGCACATCACACATTCTCTCGCGATTAATTGAAAGTGACACGCAGCTAGCGAGGGCCAGTCACGGAGAGACATCAAATTTACATACCGTACGCGCACACGCACACGCATACACATATACACATATACACATATACGCGCGTACAGTCTCGTTGCGGTGATATTCGCTGCAGCGGTAATGACATTCGAGATGAGACGAGACAAAATGCGAATTGAGTCGCACCGATAGAGGCGCATCGGTCGAGCGAAAAACGAATGGCACTCGTATCGAGTGCGAGAATTTCACTCCCGCGGGCATCGCGAACAATCCTTGCCGACGACAATACGAAAAGTGTCGGCCGCCGAATAAATGACCGATGGCAGTTTGGTTTCGCAGGCGGCCGTATCTGAGGAGCTCGAGTAGCTTACGCCCTCTATTGCCCCCATCTCGCGACTTGCGACCTGCGACTCGTCACGCGAATTAGAGACATCGGCCGCCTGAAATTTTGCCAACGGAACTCCTCGGAGAACAGAGACGGAGGGATGATATAGCTCCGGGGGCTGCTCCTCGCGCGCCCGTGATACCGGAAATAAAGGCTAACTCCCGTCGCGCGCCTTTTGATTCGCGTTGCCTAAATATCGAACATGTAAGCGGACGAGCGTGCGCGCGCGCCGTATGTGCGCGCCTCATCCGCAATCATTCTCTCAAAGACGCCAGGGCGCCTGTTTTCTTACATTTCCTTGGAATCCCCGCGCTCTTCTCGACAACGTAATGACGCTCCTTTTGGCGGAAGATAAAAGGCACCGCCTTTCTCTCCGAGCTGCGAGCTAAAGAATAGCACGAGCAGAACGCGTGTATATATATACATATATATATATATATATATACCGTATTCTTCCGTATTCCCTTTGAGGATAGATACACGTAGCGCGGCACGCCACCCCCTCTCCCTTCTTCCACCCCCCCGCCCGCTCTCGCCACCTGCCCGCGCAGAACGTAAAATATCCACGGCGTTTCTTTTCTCGTCCGCTTTTTTGCTTTTTGTTTTCGCCGCTGCTCCCTCTTTCCTTTTCTCTCTCGCCCTAAGGAGAGAGAGAGAGAGAGAGAGGGAGAGAGGTAACGCGCTACCGCCCGCGCCGCTGCGCTCGTTCGGCAAGGAGGAGGTGAGGAGGGAGGAGGGGGAGAGCTATCGTTTTTCGTCCGCGCGCGCATCGCCTTACGGAATAAATGATTATCCGCGAATCGAAAGAGCCGCCGAGAATTAATCGGGAAATAATTTCGTTCTGTTGGCTGTTGCGCGCGCGCGCGCGGCCGATCTTCTATTTCGCGCGTTACTTTGATCAACGTGGCCGATAGTACCTCGCGAAAATTACGTTACCTGCCGTTTCATTCCAGTAAAAGCACACAGCCGGAACGAGAGTTCCGCGTATACCTACGATCTAGATATATGTGTGTGTGTGTGTATGTTGTGTGTGTGCGCGTGTGTATGTATATATATATATATATATGTATACAGCGACCGATGGCGTAGCGATCTATCGGCAATCGGCCGAGAAATTACTCTCTTCTCCTTCCTCCCCTTTTTTATCGAAGCTCGCGCGCGAGTTTTTAATACGAGCGCGTTATCCAGCCGTCTCATTAGCGCGTGCGGAATAATCTCCGCTCAGCCGAGATCAAAAGCGGAATTACAAATATTGGTTTGCGAAGGAAATTTTTAAATTATCCCATCATCGCGAGAGTGAGAGTGAGCGAGAGAGAGAGAGAGAGAGAGAGAGAGAGAGAGAGAAACAGCGCGACGTGACGCATTGCCGCAAAGCGTTCCGTCGCGGAATCATTTTAACCGGTTCGTCAGTATTAACGTGTTCCTGCGCAGCGCAAGCCGTTCTTTGTGTCCCGCGAGATTTACGACGACTCTTGTTACACAAATGCGGGGTTAAAAGTGAGAGATGTATTTTTCCTTCGAATCGAGGAAGTGCGCGTCGATAGACTGCATTGATCGAGTGTGCGCTTTTACTCGACGCGCGCGCGATAAAGAGCAGCGACTGTACACGCCGATTTTTAACTTCTTAGTCCGCAGATTCGCGGATAATTCGGGGAAAACAGGAAGCGAAGAGTATGGAATTTGGGAAAGAAACGGATCGTTGCGAGGATTATGATTCCTAATTGAAAAAAAATTAGGCGATCGAGATCACTCACTGAGAGAGGTGGGGAGCCCATGAGATTAATTTTAAAGCCGACCCTGTCGACCTATTATTCCGTCGGCAGCCATGTAAACTCACGATCAACGATCTTGAAAAATAACCGCTAAATCACAGCCGAGAGGACCGTCTTTTCCCGGCGTACCTTGTTATTCAAGCTTCAGCCGGGATCCATTGTGAAATTTTTACCGTGACCCAGTTTACAAGCGAATCTCCCTCGTTAACAAGAATTTAGGGATCTCCCTCTCGCGTCTGCGGCGAATCTTCGTGGAAAGCCGACATGCTCGAGCGGTCCATTCGCGGCGGAGCAGCGCACTCACCTCCCTGTTATGACTCCAAATCATCATCGGCGGTGGCTCGGGGGCGAATTTTACGATACATGTCAGGTTGATGGTGCTGCCCTTATTGACGAAGAGGTCTGGTCCTCCAACTATGATGGTTACCGGCTCTGAAACAAGCACGATTTGAGTCTGGCTTGAGCCGCTACTGACCACTCGACAGTCGCGCGCATGTGAGGTCGGTTATATAACCAGTTCACTGGTAACGACTCATATATGAAAGGGAGAAAAGTGCCGCAATTGATAATGACTCATAATATATGAGCACCCTGAATAATTCTGCCAATTTTCAACGGATCTGCATCAAACTTGATACATCCATTTTTTGCGTCGCTGATTATGAATCCGGAATCAAATTTGGAAAATTCATAATGGCGGGTCCAACATGGTGGCACGTGAATATTCAAATTTGTCAGGTTTGGAAGAATTTATTATTTATTAAGATTTTCATATGCCCATTTGATTTTGCATGAAATCTTTATAAGGGATTTTTGGATTGCTGGGGATAAATCCGGAGTCAAATTTGAGAAATTCATAATGGCGGATCCAACATTTAAATACTCAAATTTATCAGATTTGGAAGAATATTTATTAAGATTTTCATATGCCCATTTGATTTTGTATGAAATCTTTACAAGGAATTTTCTGGAATGCTCATGACGAGCCCGGAGTTTAAATTTCAAAATTCAAAATGGCGGATTTAATATGGCGGCCTCAAGTAACTAATTTTATCATTCCACTATGGAGAAAATCATATTCGATATGTTCATGTTTTTTCATGTTTTTCAGTCGAAATTGCAAAATTTAATATGGCAGCTTCTGATGACTAACGGTATTCCATCATGGATACTCTTACCCCCATTAGCGGGTGAAATATGTTGAAGAAAACTACTCCATCGCCGAATGATTCCGGTGGAAATCTTGGATTTACGACAACCATTATTTGCGATCAACGAAACGTATCGAGTTTAATACATACCAATAATGGAATATTAAAGTTAGCTGCTTGAAACCGTCAGATTGGATCTATCATTTTGAATTTTGAAATTTCAACTCTGGATTCGTCACCAGCGATCCAAAAAATCTTTATAGATAAGCTTTATAGATAATCATGTAAAATACGAAATTATTCGTTCTCACCAGTTTTGGTAAAAAACGTTGACTTTGGGTCTACCAGTGAGCTGGTTAAATGACGTAACCGCGCACGGGCGCGCGATATAAATCTCTCGCCGTATATTCGATATTTTTATCGCGTCACACAGCGTGCGCGCACGCGCGCGCGCGCACGACGCGACGAACTCGTCTCTGCAAGCCAGTGGTGGGCGAGTTTTTGGGTCAAGCCGCGTCGATAAGATCCACTCTTCTCTCTTTGCCTTGGCACGGCCTGCTTAAAGTATCACGCCGGTCATTAACGGGATATCTTCGCGGATATATCACCTCGTACACGCTTCACTCGAGTGTAAATGCACGGAGCACACGGGACGCGACTTCGCCGTTCTTTCAGAGATGCTTACTCGGTGCTTCCCGGAGGAGCCGTTGCCGTTATACGGCGCACATTTGAAAGTTAAATGGATTTTTGAAAATCCAACTTTACGGCCCGACATTACCGAGAATCTTAATTAAAGCGTTTTATTATCCGACAGATAATGGAAAAATACGCAGCCCGATCAGGTTTTCTCCGACGGAGAAGTAACCGCTGAAATCGGAGGTCTTCCGGTATTTTCTGTGTTTAATTATAATTAAATGATTCTCAGGAAGGGAAGAGACTCTCCGAATTTCTCTCAGCGCCAGCTGAATTCGTTACCGTTGCACGAAGACTTCTCATCGTTCGCAGTTCGTTTTGACTGTAAGATGTTTATATTATATACATCCTCCTTCTTTCTCTCGTCTCTCGACGGATATAATTTCTCAAGTTATATTACATCCGTAGGGACGTTTGAGTCTCGGATTCTCGCGACGTTAGCGGTGAATTTATATATCGTCCCAAATAAATACGTCTCTTCTAACGAAGTGAAGCGGGATCCGTAGCTGAAGTTCCTGCGAAGTGAAAACTTTAGTTCCGAAAGGAAATTACAAGTTCGCGACTTTCGCAGGTAAGATCGTTAGCGGGAACAATCGCGCGCGCGCGCAGGTAGAAGCGAGCGAACGGGCGAATCGGTAGTGGACTTCCCCCTCTGTCCCCACACCCCCTCACCTTCTACATTGCCCGTTTCAGCGATCGCCGGTGGTAATTTTGAGAGTCAAGTGTTTTCTTTGGAACGTAACTTTGGCGTAACTTCTTTTCGAAAGTGCATTAATATCTCATGCGAGAGAGAGAGAGAGAAAGAGAGAGAGAGAGAGAGAGAGAGAGAGAGAGAGAGAGAGAGAGAGAGAGAGAGAGAGAGAGAGAGAGAGAGAGAGAGAATCAATTCGCTTACCGACTATAGTTAGGTACACGGGATGACCGATGGGCGGGGTCGTTGATATTTGGCACTCATAAATCCCGGAGTCCTTGCGCTGAGGATATCGTATCCTCAAGGTCCAGTCCTCCGTGTGAGGGTAATGTAGTGCCTCGAAACGTTGATCGCTGGTGTAGGTGTAACGACCAACCGTCAGCAGGTGTATATCCCGGTGTCTGACCCAGGAAACCTGCAAGCAGAGAAAGACTTTTCTACCTCACGTCTTTCACATCGCGCGTTCGATCGTCGATTACTCTCGCGCGAGCTGCAACTCTTTCCCGCGACCAATCAGATAATCAGCGATAGGACGACGGTTGTCAGTCGCCGACGTTGCGTTGGCGATCGACTGACTCAAGGAGTTCGGAACGCACGGCTGTTCCGCGCGAAAAATGAAGGACGATGAGACTCGTCGCTAAACCACGCGTGACAAGCCTGTTCTTCTCAGCCGAACTCGGCTTCGGAAACTTTGGTTTTAGTGATAAGGTTGGTAAGCCTTAAACTAACTTAGACACGTTCCGTAGTTGATCAGCTGATCACGCTTGAACGTTCACAGCTGATTCTGTTTACACTCTTGATTCCAGCTATTAATTTTGCAATATTATCAGGGGTATGCAAAGGTTTCCATCATTTTTAAGGCAATTTTTTATTAATTTTTTTATTAATATTATTATAAATGACATAGTATTTTTAATCAAAATATTTTCCGGCTATTATCTACTTTTTGCCATCTTTCAGGCAAAAGATGGAGACTACGATGAAAGAAGCCGTTGCTCTTAGAATGAATCAAGTTATCGATGAATTGTTGCGCTTACTCAGCATTGCGAAATCATGTACTAGAAAAATTGTGCTGCATAGAACGAAATAAGTGAAAATCCGATGGAGCAATATTTAGGGAATATGCTGGGTGTGATAGGACTTTCCATTATAATTCTATTAAAGTTTCTCAAATCGTCAATGCAACATGGGGCAACATTGTCGTGCAAAAGAATGACTTTGTTTTGCTTGCAAAATATGGCCGTTTCTCGATCAATTGCCCATTCAACTGCCTCAATTGTCGACTATATAATTCTGCGGTGATAATTTTTTAACAGCTTATAATACAGTACTTTTTGCATGTTCCACCAGATACACAGGAGGACCTTATGACCATAGATATTTCGTTTTGGCTATGACGTAGAGGGTTTTCCGGGATTTACTCACCATCTTTTGCGATTAGGATTGTCATAATAAATTCATTTCTCGTCTCCGGTCACAAAAAAGTATTTGTGACTTGCAATTGAATAGCGAAAGGCAAATAGTGACTCGGCTAGCAATAGCGTTCTCAAATAATTTATGGGTAATCCATTTTCCTCCCTTCAAAATTTTCCCCATCTCATGCAAGCGTCGAATTACAGTGCTCTGATTAACGTGTAATCTTTTCGCAAGTTCTACACTCGACTGAGTTGAATCTTCTTGCAATAACACTTCCAAGTTATCCGAACTTATCTCTTGCGATCGCTTGACACGCTTCATATCGTCCAAGTCAAAATCACCATTTTTAAAGCGCCCAAACTATTCACGACATGAACTTTCAGCTATCGTTCCTTCACCATAAGTTTCGCAAATGATTCTGGTTGCTTCGGCAGCTGTTTTGCGCTGATAAAATAAAAAATGCGTACAATGACGAATGTACGTCTTATCAACTTCCATCTTCATACATATTAAAAATGTTTATATCAATGAATATGACTTATTACGCATTAGTTTCTACGCAGGTTGGCTAATACTGACATAACCTAACAAAAATGCGTCGCAGCTTTCATGTAAATAATTCACAATGCCTTCTATACGTAAACGATGGAAACTTTTGCATGCCCCTAATAGATAGAGAAATGGATAGATTTTGTATTACTTATTATGTTGATGATTGATCAGTTGATCAATTGTGGAACCGATCCATGTTATTTTAAAGCCTACCAACCTTATAACTAAAAGCAAGATACCAAAATCGATTTCGGAACGCAAACTATAACCCTTTCCCTGTTCCTGCCTCTGCAGGCGGAAGATGCAATCTAGTTCGGCTAAGAAAGAACAGACCTAATTCGAGTAATTACTCGGAAGAAGGAGCTAGGGTGCTTTCGCGGCTTTCGCGTTGTGGGACGAAGCGGAGCGTGTGATGTGGATGTATCGCGGGTAGAGTGGGATATCACGTAGGTCACCGCCGCGTGAGGAACCAACATTATATATCCGTGTAGCTGTCGATATCAGGCGTTGCCGGCGCCTGCCGGCGTATTTATCTATCTTGCGATGAAGCCGGGGGCTCGCATAATACATTGTTTGATAAACATAAATTGAAAGCTTATTTGCTCGCCGCACCATTGCCGTCGTCGTCGTTGTCTCCACTTATTATCCCCTCCCCCCTCCTCGCCCTCCACGATGTTGCGTTTTTGTTATTAAATGCGACAGAGCGTATGTCTCATAAATAGGACGATGTTGCTTACCATCCAGCGACAAACCACTGCGTTCCGGACGGGAACGGAACGCCGGCAACGTTAATAACGACGTTACGCGCGGAGTTTAGTCGATACGGATCCACCAATTCCGACCAGGAGGAGGAGGAGTGCGCTTCTGTCGAAAAGCTGAATACGCGAATAATAACGAGGTTCTCACTCTCTCTTTCTCTCTCTCTCTCTCTCTCTCTCTCTTTCTGTCTCTCTCTCTCTCTCTCTCTCTCTCTCTCTCTCTCTCGGAGACGATTGGCCATGTTAAAGGATAAAACGGTGTTGCGCGCACAATTGCCGAGAAATGGACAACGTTCGTTGAAATCTCAATTTGCCGTTGCCTACCGCGACCTCATGGAGACGCAACGCGTGTCGCGCGGGTAAACGATAGCGAAATAATTAACTACCGCCTGTTCAAATAATTAATTACTCCCTGTCCTTTAATTCCGGATGATATTAGCGCGGCTCCATTGCCGCGCCGGCCGGCCGAATCGATCGAGTTGACGCGCCGTGAGCGAAAGAGAGAGAGAGAGAGAGAGTGAGCGAGAGGGGGGAGGGAGGGAGGGAGAAGGATGAAGGGAGATCGAAGTTTCATCTCGTCTCTCGCATGTTTTAACTCTTACACGCGGACTATGAGCACTCGGTGCATATATATTTTGAAAAAAAGAATTCAACACTTTAATGGCAAATATGATTTATGAAATGGAGGAAAAAAATTCTAATAATAAAAATCCTAATATTAATATTGTCGGAGTTATGAACAATTGTTTATTTTAATTAAAGCAAGTCACCTACTCGCTTCTGGTACCTACAAAATTTATAGAAGTTATTCTCAACATGTCTCCTCCTCCTATTCCTTCACATCTTCGTACCATAAAATTGCGAACTCTTTCAAAAATTCCCGCCATTGTTCGAACTATTCGACAGGCATTTTGTATTCTCCGATGCAATTCGTCTATGTCACTTATTCCCAAAAAGCCCAGGGGATCTAAATTGGGACAGCGAGGTGGCTATGAGACTGACTATCCCGTTCTATCCGCCCTACACCGAACGATCGATTTAGACGAATTACACCAGAGGATACAAACTGTTTGTTAAACAATTAGAATAAAGTTAGGAATTTTTGAAAGACAGTCCGCAATTCTATGGTACGAAAATGTGAAGCGTGTGTAGAAATATGGGAGGAGGACATGTGGAAAATATTAAGTGTATAAATGAATAATCCAAACTTTCTTAAGCGGCTAAAAAATTAAATTTCAAATGATTAAATTTTCCCATTCTTTACGCTTTTACGGTTATGTAGCGCTGACATATAGCTATTAAAAATTACATTTAGTATGACGGAAGACTCGATATAACCTCAAAAATTATTCAGTTCAATAGTCAAAAATGGCAACAGATAATGCATATCCGACATTGCATTCTTTACAAATTCCAACAAGGAAGAAATGCTGCAAGAGCATGCGAATTGATTTGTTTCTTTCTTGGTGAAGATGTATCGTACGATGTGTGTGCATTTTGGTTTAGACGGCTTAAAAGCGGTGATTTCAGTATGAATGACAATAAGTGTCCTGGAAGTCCTCGGAAGTGTGGCAATAATGATTTGAAGTAACTACTCGCTGAGAACAAAAGATTCAGAACAAACGAGCTTGCAGAGCAGTTAGGAATAACGCAACAAACTATTTTCAAATACCTGCACGAGATGAGGAAGATTCAGAAAGAAGGAAAATGGGTATCCCGCATGAACTCACTAAAGCCAACAAAAATCAACGAGTAGCAGTGTGTCTTTTTCTTCTCAATAAGCAGCAGAAAATCTTTCTTTCTTGTGGAAAATTGTTACGGGCGATGAGAAGTGGATACTCTATGACAATCCGGAACGCAAAAAGTCATGGGTAAATCTCGGCGAACCATCAACATCGGTCGCAAAGCCAAAATACTTCGGAAAGAAGATTCTGCTTTGCATTTGGTGGGATATGAAGGGCGTGATTTATTATGAGCTATTAAAACCGAATGAAACAATTATTGCAGACCGCTACCAATACCAATTAATCCGTTTGAGTCAAGAATTAGGACGAAAATGCCAGTATAGAGAAAAAGGAGAACGTCTTGTGAAATTGTTGTATGATAACGCTAGGCCACACTTTGCTTCTACGACAAAAGACATCACAATGAGTCTTGGCTGGAACGTCTTGCAGAACCCGACGTATTCGCCGAACATCGTTTCTACCGATTACCACTTGTTCCGGTCGATGCAACATGCCTTGTCTGATACGCACTTCAAATCAGTGGATGAGATCCGAAAATGGCGACTTTGATGACTTTATCGTGTTCAGACACAACATTTTTCCGACATGGAATTCAACAGCTGCTTGAAAGATGATTTAAAATTATAAAAAACAACAGTGAATGCTTTGATTGGCAAATTTATTTTTTTTTTTTAAATAAACCTTGAATTTTGCTGAAAAATTTGATTTCATTTGTACACTTAATATTTTGTTAAGCTTTATGAGGCGAATAGGTCATTTGCTTGAATTAAAATAAATAATTGCTCCAAACTTCGATAATATGAACTTTTCGACTCTTCACTGTTCGACTCTTCACTATCGACTTTTCACTGTTTATTACTTTTTCCTCCATTTTGTGAGTACCATCCGCTCGTAAAGTTTTTTAAACTCTTTTTCTAAAACATCCTATATATTTCTGTGCTTGT